ATCCATTGGCAGTAAAAAATTAAACAGAAAGACTATTTATGAGAGACATCTGAATTTTGGAAACTCATCATTTGTCAAGAAAGAAATGCTCTCGAATTGTAAATTGTAGGCTAGTTTTCTTTGCTTTATGTCTAAGAGCATCTAGACAATAATGAGAGACATACATGGATCTAATCTATGTGGTAAGTAGAAAAGGACAAGATCACCTGAATAAATTGGGAGCATGGGGACCATGGGAGAGGGTTGGAGGGGAGGAGAGAGGAAGAGAAGGAAGCAGAGAAAATGTATAGCTCAATAAAATAAGTAAAAAAAAAGGAAAAATATTCTCAAGATAAAAAATAAAAGTGGCATAAATATGCATTAGATGTACATGTGTGTGTGCTATGGTAAATATAGAGGCATTTTCAACCACCCCCAAAAGAAAGAAATGCTAATGGTTGGCTACCCCTTGAAACATTCACAGAAATGAAGAGAAAGGCATTTTGCTGCTTGATTGTACTGTGATTGGTCCCCAGCAAATGCATCGAACCAGAGTGAATTGGAAGTGGCACTCTCTCCCTGCTCTCAGGCACACACCAAACAAATAACCCCCCTATGCTGTCTACATCATCCCAGATGGATCTCAAAGGATTCCAGAGAAATTTTACTAAGAAAGACAAGTAAATGAAACAGGGCCACAAAAGATGTTCTCTGGAGAATGAAATACAAACAAAGGTGATGCTTGCAGCTTTCAGAATTCCGAACTATATTCTATAATTGAAGCAAAATCTACTTGAACTAAACAAGGAGCCTTGCCTACTGGTGCTGAGCCAAACAGCTGGTCGAGAGCAGAGAATAGGCAGAATGACTTTTCTGAAAGATTTTCTTTATTCATGTCAGAGACTGACTTTTTTTTTATAAAATAATAGATAAGAGAAGTCATTAACAGAAATCTCATTTGTATACAAGTTCTGACAAATCATATTTCATGATTTTATTAATATAGAACACCACATCTATTTTCTTATTATCCTAAAAATTTGTTTACATTTGGCTTAATAACATTGAAGTATTTTGTAATAAACTTATTTCAGATAGTTGATAAGTCTAAAAGGCTAATGCTAATATTTGTCTTTTATTTTATCATTTTTTGATATCCATTTTTTGATAAAGTTTTGTACCATGTGTAGAAGATACATATAACTTTCCGAAATGAAAAATGGAGTAAATAACTGTAGCGATTTCAAGCTTTTAAACTTTCCAACTCTTCTAATTACATGAGAGATGTGTAGGTCCACATTGGCCAAAGTGTACTAAGAGAATGAAATCATTGTAGTGGGTCATGTCAATTACATAATGGGAAAATGAAAAGAAAAGAAATGTTAAAACTAATTATAGCATATTCAAAGTATTAAGATTAATTTCATTTCTTGAAACATTGAATCAGTGCATATTGTGTGTGAAATAAGATGTTTTCTTACTATGCTCTAACCCAAACCATTTGGAACACACAAACCATTGGGTCCACATAACCTAGAGCTCTGAATATGAAAGATAAAATGAAAAGATTCCCCATAGGGAATAGCTGTTGCTCCATAGGCTTTGTTAGCAGACCCTCATTCTTATTATTTGTTCCTAAAGCCAGAGCACAAACATGAATCCACATGTCAGTGAATACTGTGTTCATTTCCTAAAAGAAATACAGTGGAAAGATTTTCTAAAATCAACTTTGAAACTTAGAAAATATTTCCATGGAAAGATAACTCAAAATTTGAGGTCACTCAGAGTTTGCTTAAATTAACACATTGAGCATTTTGCCAAGAACTACAATGAACAAATAAGAGTCATCATGACTTGGAGGAAACGGTGCTAGGAGAATGGGAGCCATGTAGATTATTATCCTATTTGTTTTAAGAGTTACTTTAAATCAATACTCTATGACTGTATTGTAAAAGACAGAACAAAGGGAGTATAAATCACCTGGATATCTTCACCCTTACCTTGGACTATATTATTAGCTAAAATCGGAAAAAAGGTACAATCATTCAACAACAACATATGAGAAACTGTGAATTGATCTCAGTGCCTTGTTCTGTATGTGTCCAACAAAATGCTATTGGTATTATATTTAAAAATGTTTGAAACCAAAGGTATTTTGAAAATGAAGCACAAAGAATTGATATTCTCACATTGGTAATGGCAGAAGTAATGTAGTACATGTGTAGTACCTTTGTTAAACCAAACAGCAGGACTTTGGGTTCCCTTCTCAGTATTCCTGCATATGGTAAGTGATTTGTATACTTGACTGAATTTAGTAAGATGCCGATGAAATTGTATTTTGTGAAATTCATCTGTAAAAACAAGATTCAACATTTTAAGTTTTAAAATTATTTTCTTCTAGATTTTTAAATATGTGTGTTTATTTGTAATGTTATCTTCTATGTAAATTTGTATGTGAGAGTTCACATTCATATATATATATATATATATATATATATATATATAGAGAGAGAGAGAGAGAGAGTCTATAGGTCAATGTTAGGTGTAATCTTTAATTATACTCTATCTAATATTTTGAGAAAAATATCTGCCACTGTACCAGAAGTTTGCCAATTGGCCACATTTGTGGGCCAGCCAATCCTAAGGTTCCCCTTTTTCTATCTCCCCCTTCTTCTATCATTAAGAGCACAACCACCATCAAACCTAGCTTTTGTATGAGTACTTGGAATCTAATATCAGTTCTCCATGTTTTCATGGCAGACATTTTACCATTAGCTGGATGCAATGTGTTTTTAATGGCAATCTTTTTGTTCATAGGCACTCATTTTTCTAAAATGTGTGTAATTGCAATATGGCCTTCACTCTTAGTACGTGTGGAGGGAAAGTACATGTTTGAAACATTACATGGAGCTAAGAGTCAGGCTTGAAAATAATCAGACATCATATTAGTTTCCTTCAAGTTATACAATTTTTGTCTAAATTGGCAAATATTCTAAAGTCCATTTTTCAGTCTTTAAGGATAACTTTTAAGGTTAATTAGCTGAATTTAGTTTTTGTTCTGCAGATGGATATTTTTTACACACTGTTTTAGTTTGATTATTTTGTTGGTTCTTTGTCTTCTAATATTGTTTAAGTTATATAATATCTTGTAAACTCAAGTTAGACCAACTCAAACAAACAAGTTTAGTAATTGCTGTGTTGAAGATACTATTACTTCAAACACAATTATTTGGTTACATGGAAGCATATGAGCAAGTTAGTTTGCTTAGATAACGTCATGAGGGAGGACTACATACTAACACTTTTATGTGCTTAGCTTTTAGAAAAGAACCTTTAATCCTCACAGTAGATGCTTTTCAACTGTATAAATCATTTATGTATGTTTGTTTTATCTTATTCTGGGTCTCTTGATACATTATGTTTACTCTGAATCTCCCCAGCTGAGCTTACCAGAAGAAAAATTGATTTAAAAATTGGTTTATTAGTCATTTTAACTTCCCATGCAGGATAATTTAAAAAAAATCAGAATATAGACAGGGGTATCCTGGCATTTCAATAATCCACAAACAGCCCTTCAGAATAGCAATGCACTGACGTACACAGAGTATGACATTACAGATGCACTGAACGTATTGTATGGGGAGATAGGCTCTATCTTAGAGCATTTGTCTAAGATCTAGTTCATACAGTGAGTCCTGTACTTGAGAACCATTCGGGGAACAGCTCTTCCAGAAGATATGAAAGATATGAAAGCTCAAGATACAGGAAGACTATGTATGGCTTCAATACTCCAGGAGTTTGAAGCCTATGGCAGAGATGAAGAAATGAGATGAATAATGTAATTCAGTGTGTGGGTGTCCTGGTGTCTGCAAAATACTTACAGAGTAATAATATCCTATTTCAAAATGTGGCAGAAGTTGCACACCTGATTTATCTGTCATGATTTCCTTTCTTTGTAATTGACACATCTGTACTAAATGCTCAGTAAATGCTGCTTTCTTGCCCCCAACCTGTATCTGCATTGTTATTTGTAAGTTAAACGTTGCTGTTTTCTCTGTGCCCTGAATGCAATATGACCCAACCACTTCATGCTTCTGCAGCCATCATAGAATGTTCCCTCAAAGCACTAGCACAGACAAAGTCTTCTATCTCTGTTTCTTTTTGCTTGGCATTTTATACACCACAGTAACATGTAACTAATATTCCTATTTCAAGGAACAACTAGGGAAACTTGGTTAAAAATGTATCATTCTTCCAACTTGCACATAGATTTTTGGTTACTAACATTTCACTCTTCAGTGTCATCGTCCCTAAAACCATATCAATCTAAGAAAATGCTTTATCTTGTGACACCATAACAATGCTCATTTAAAATAATGCAAAATGCAGTCATGCCAACCTTCTCTCAGTTGACATATATATAAACTTAGCTATTCTGTTTTGTTTTTATCTCTTGTTTACTTTTACTTAACAACCGACAAATGTCTACAAGTGACACTTTGGATTGAGGCAGTTAACCATCATTTTAAACTGACAATTACATTAATATAATCTTATAACTAGTAGTAAAAGCTATTTGAAATCTTTTGAGGTCAAAATATACTAAGCACTGTCTTGTCATTACAAACATTGTTTACTTTTACATTTAAAATATGCATGCTGAGTTATGACTATTTCTCTACTAAATATGATGCAGTATCTAGAAGGATTAGAAGATTCACATGGTATAATTCAAAGTCAACCAACTTTCTTTCTTGCCCATACCCTAGACTCGACATATCTTTTAAACAGAGTATAGTGCAATTAAGGAAGATGGAAAGTATTGTGAGCCTTTAGTGCCAATAAAATAAATATCAAAACGAAAGGAGAAGGAAGGGGAGGAGGAAGAAAAGGAGGAGGAGGAGGAGAAGGAGGAGGAGGAGGAGGAGGAGAGAGAGAGAGAGAGAGAGAGAGAGAGAGAGAGAGAGAGAGAACAGCCTCCACTTTGGCTTTTAGAAACATATCAATCAGATTCCACTGACCTGAGGAGATGTCGATTTGGCTTGTCTTGCTCTGTGTGGTGTTGATGTGGACGCTCACTTTGCTCTCCACAAGGTCAATCTCCACATTGCCTAAGTTATCTGCAAATTGACTGAAGAGCAGAAGACCACTGGGGTTCCAAGTCCTGAACTGGAAACTGACCGAGAACAGGTCCTGATTAAGTCTGCCAGGCACCTCCAGGTAGCTTGTAGCATTGAAGAAGACTGGTACTGTGTAGGGTTCCACACAAGAGAAACTCAGATTCCCCTATAAGTAAAAAAAAAAAACATCTATGTGAGGCTACTGAATAAAAGATGGCTATACAAATATTCAAGGAGTAATGGAGCCTGTGCCAAACTTAAGGGCTAGCATCTCGACCCGATTTTGTGGATGCATGGATTTTGATGGAACTTCCTGTAGTGTTAGAAGCAATGTGCATAGCTGAACTTCTAGTACAGAGTGTAGCAATCAACACCTCTCAAAGGACTGACAGCTTATTAGCATGCTGTGATGGGGAGACCACATGATGGTCTTCTTTCATTTTGTAATCATATTTAAAGGACTTTGATGACACTTTTACCTCTATCTCACACATATATATGCATATATTATATAATGTAATATATATGCACCAGGAGGGTGTGGGTGTGAGAAGACAGGGAATCTGCGGGACTTTGAGGAAATTTCACTGAAATAACAGCTACTAATGTCTTTGAGCAAATTCTTTATAAAACATTAACTTTGTAGGGATGGTAACAAAATGTTCTACTTCATGATTTTTCCTAATGATTTCAGTCTGTGTGCATATTTTGCCACAAAATTATTCTGTGGTTGTCTACAAACAATTTACTAAAATAGTCTTGTAGATGCTTTATACTTTGTAAAATATTTTGTCTAAGCAAAGATTTTTCTAGTTTCAGCATGCTTTGTAGTTAGGGTTGCCTTAGTGATGACCCCCTGGTTGGTGCTCTGTAGTCTGAGTACCACACTTCTCAGGACTAACGGTGAACTAGAATTTTACTTTTTAAAATGAAAATAATGGAAATGTTAATCTGACACCTTGCTTTCTACATTTTTCCTCAAAGTCTCAATTTTTCAGAAGAGTGAAAGGATCCCTGTGACATTATATCCAAAGCTTACAAGCTTAAAAAGTGTGTGTGTGTGTGTGTGTGTGTGTGTGTGTGTGCAGTGTGTGTGTGAGCACTTAATATATGGACTGTGTGTGTTTGTGGGAGTGAATAGTATGAGCATGTATGTTTGTGTGTATTTGTATACATAATATGTGGTATATGAGCATATAATATAGTGTTTTGTACATAGAATATGGAGTATGTGCGCTTGTATGTATATTAATTGCTATGCTAGTGCATGTGCTTGCATGCATATGTTATATGCGTGTCTTTATGTATTATTGTATGTGGCATACATGTGTGATTAGTACGTAGTATCTTGTGTTACTATGTGATCTATGTATGTGCATGACATGTGGGTATGTAAGTGCTTGTGTAAATATGGTGAATATTGTATATATTGGCCAGCAGATACATATTATGTATGATATATATGTTCAGTGGTTTGAAGAAAAGTGACCCCCAGAGGTTCATATATTTAAATGAGATAATCACCAGAGAGTGTGACTATTTGAAAGGATTAGGAAAATTGGGAGGTGTGGCCTTGTCAGAGGAAGAGAGTTACTGGGGGTGGGCTTTGAGGTTTCAATAGCCCATGCTAGGCTCAGTCTCTGTCTCTTTTCTTCTGTCTGCAGATGAAAGATGCAGCTCTCAGCTAATGTTTCAGCACCAGCTCCCACCGAGTTCCCCACTGTGATAGTTGACTAGCCTCTGAAACTCTAAGCAGATCTACAGGAAAGGCCCATGATAAACATTTGTTATTATTTTGGGGGCTACCTAGCAGTTCACAGAGATGCCAGCTGCTGAATCATTTTCATTATTTGACCTTCTTCAGAAATCTGAAACCAGTCCCCACAGGACTCAGAAGAAATTCAGCATGAGCGTTTGTGACCCACTCTTTGGTTGCCCCCCAAAACAAAAGTTATCTTATTTAATCCATTATTTAACTATTACACTAATACTTCTCTTATATAACCTTAGATTCTTCTTTGACAATTCCATGTATTATATAATTCATTCTGGTTACCTCATCACTCTCTCCAATCTCCCTCCATCCTTGTCAGTTTGCCCTTCTTTTTATGAATCTCTGATGGACAGTTTAAAAACTCTGGGCACAAAGGGTACCTGACTCAAATTCAGTTGTGTATTCTGAGTATGTCAGATACTCATTTTTGGTCTACATCTGTTTTACACTGTGGTACTGAACCCAATCAGGGTGAAACAGGCTAGATGTTTGTTGTTATTCAATGCCCCATAAAAAAAAAAACAACAAAAGTTCATGTGAATTTTAAAATGGATCAATATTTTGGGTTCTTACCACATTTGATGGCTCTAATTTCTTCCTTCGGGCGAGATCAGTGATGTTGACGCCATTGTAGTTAACGCTTTCCATGCAACCCTTAAAATTCTTCCGATTATTGGAACTTGGCTTTCCAGAGAAAGGTATGCCTCCAAAGGTTATCTTTGAGAAAATGTAAATGTAAACGTTTATACCTTCTTATAATAAACTATGTAAAGTTGTAAATACAATCAATGTCAGGCACCTTTATCTCAGTCAAAAAAAGAGGAAACATTATATCTTGCCTACAAAATCTTTTGCTCATTACATTATGTTGTTATTGAAATGCATAATGAAATCATTAATTCCAATAATTAGATTATAACTTGACCAATAAAATCGCAAGCTTTCCTTGCAGTTTTTAAACACCAAAAGCATTTTATGAATTGCCTTGAGAGCATCTTAAAAAGATTTTATCTAGTAACTTTATTTTATCAAGGAATATTAAAACTATATATTCCTATTTATCATTCAAAGACATGTTACCAATAAATGCCTCTAGTAATCTCAAGACAACCATAACTAATATAATAAACTGATAAAAATGTAACCTAAAGCAAGGAATACTGTATTTATCCTCTGTGGGCTTTGTGAAGTCTAATGGCTGCTCAAGTCAAAGGTTCATTAGAGTTATTTCGTGTATAGAAAACAGCTGAAAAGTACCATTTGTGTATGGATCAGGGACTTTGTCGGGCACAGTGGCTGTAAGTGGGGCCGTCAAGTTTTACCCATTTTATAAATCTTGCAGACATGGATGAGACCAATCCTTCTTAATGTCCTCCTTTGGGTATTACTATTACAGTGGGTATGTTCCCCATTATGTACATCACACCACTGTCCTCCTTTGGGTATTTCTGTTATAGTTGATATGTTTCCCCCACTGTGTACTTCTCACCGGTTTCAAGTTCTGGAGACGTAATACAGATGATGCAAAATTACACGTAATCACTACTGCTCGGAGTATTCACCACTGATAGTGAATTAGTAAGTAAACGTAATGTATAATTTTAGGTATGCTTCCTTTATGTATGCAGTTAGACAATTTCTTTGAAGCAGACTTTTCCTTTACAGAGTCATCAGTTTATAATTTGAAAGCAATTGCTGAGGCCTTTTCAAGAGTGAGGGCTTTATATTTGATATAAGGCAAGGATGTGCAACATTCTAGGAGGCTCCTGAGGAAATTATGTTCCATTATTTGGTGTTATGGCATTTAAAATGCTTAATTAGTTTTAGTGAAAAAGACAAATTAATGGTGTTTTACGAAACAATGTTTTTAAAAAGGCCTCACTTAAAATAGAATTAAGTATTATTAATCATGTTCAGCTGAATATATATCACTTGCAATGAGTTCATACATGAGAGGAGAAGTTAAGAATAAAAAATCAAAACACATAGAATAAAATAACGAATCCACAAAAGGAAAAATTTAATAAAAATGATAGAAATAATTGAGAAAATATTTGAAAACCTCAGGAACCCTGACCTTGCTAGGTACTCTGAATGTGATACTAACATTGATGGCAGTAGCCACAAGGCTAAAATGAAATGCTATGTAGCTGTTTCCAGTTTCTTTGGCAATTACTTTTAGGGAACTCATAGTGATCCATCCCAAGTTTTCTTTTAAAAAAATTATTAGTAATATTATTACATGAATGTGTGTGTGTCTGTGTGTGTGTACATATCTGCATGCATGACACATATGTGGAGGTCAGAGGACAACCTGTGAAGTAGGTTCTCTCCTTCCATCACATGGGTCCAGAGTTGAACACTTTTCCTCAGACTTGGCAGAAAGAGCTTTTCTTTGCCAAGCTCTCTCACTGGCTCACAAAATCTGTTTGGTGCTGGCAACATCACATTGTGACTGTTATACTTGTTTCACATTACAGATTTGTTCTTCTGTGCACATGGTTTCTTTAATCGAGGCTTCGTCTTTCCTCTGGGAGGATGACTCAAATGCACCAGAAGCTTCTTCTGCTTTCAGTAACCAGGGATGTGTGTTCGTGGGCAATACTGTCCTGAAGCACTGCAGGTGAGGGAAGTGGGATCTAGCCCAGTTTCATTACAGAAGCAATCACATATTAGTTTGCCATTTACTTTTTCTTGTCATATCATGTCATTAATTAAATGTAGTGTTGGACCACCACATTTTTAGGTATCCTAAAATTATGCTGATAAACCCTTTTTCAATTACCAGATTAAAAATCCTATTTGGGAGTTTCTTTCTTTGGTCTCAGTAAGAATACTACCACTTTGAACTCTTATTCGCCAGTTAATTGGGTATGAAGTACTTAAACATTATAGCAGATGCTGTCAGATAACTCTAGTGTCCTTTCTCTATATCCTTTTTAGGATGGAGTAATGATTCTCTCCAGTTAGCTCTGTCATCCTCAAGTCAACATATACAGCACTTACCAACCACTGTGGGAGTCGTGCACTTACAGTATGTCATTGGTAGGATGTATGTCATCCTGAGCTCATAAAGGGGGAAGGAAGAGTTTTAAACCTATCTCTCTGCCTGCTGGTCATGATAACCATAGGAATGCAAATGTCCTTCTTGGAGTAATTTACCACCAGGTTAAAAAAATGGAAGAAAAAAGGAGATTGCACACTGAAATGGTATTTAAATTAGAGCTAATTGCAAAAGGAGATGGATCCCTTCATGTGAAAGGATAAACATGCAAGCATATGCACAAATATGTTTCCATGTACACATATGTATGTTTATATAAATCTTAACTATGGATATACACACACACACACACATATATATATATGCATATATATGTTGTTTTATCACATGATCTTTGGAGAAATATGATCTTATTTTCTTATTATATTATGGGAATATGACTTACTCATATCACACAACCAGTAAGGATCAGAAATATATTCAAACTCAGGCTTCCAGCTCTGCTTGAGGGTATATGGTTGATTTTCTCAGTGACTATAGTGTGTTGATAAGTATAAAAAGAGCAGTAAGGTCACTTCCTTTATCCCATGCAGAGATGTATTGCATAAAATTATGGCATCTCATTCAAAGTACTGTAAGTGGCATTTAAATGAAGAACAGATTAAGTCAAATATTGGATTACTGCCTTGTCCTTTAGTTTCCTTGATTTGGAAGTAAACAAAGCATATATTCTTTTCATCTCAGGCTACCATGTAGTTAGCAGTATGACTGCTGACAGTGATTTCCCCACTTCATGGTGTAATAACACCACAGAGAAGAGCAGAGGGGGGAAATTTTTGGGTCACTTTCACACACAATAGCCATGTCAACATTGTACCTTGTCAAAGGTACAAAGTAGTACATCACTTCTCTTTGCTAATGTATATTGTCGTAAATGGAGGCAGGTGTATACACCCACTCAGTACAATCTAACTCACAGCATGAAATTCATGGTGATGAGGTATTTACACTATTACAGTTAAAGAATCAGACCGGTGTATCCCTCCTTTTCCACTCAGTGAGAGCTTCTGAGAGCTTTAAACACACTCCTGCTGATCCTCGGTGCCCTTTGCCTCAGTCCACTCTGCAAGAACTGAAGTCAAGTAGTTTGAGGGGAGCAGAAGACAGTCTTTGTGAACATGAGAATAGCTCTTTTATCCTTTATACTAGAGTTTAATTCTTCAATATGAATTTTATAAAATCTGTGTTATGTTACATTTGAAGTTAATTTTACCATCTTGTGTGGTAGGAATCTACTTCCTCTGTTGATACAGCAAAGAGATATGGACAACAGTTCTGATACTGACTCTTACTTAATAGGCCCCAGAGTTCTTTAAATAATACATAAAGTATCTTTACTACATAGTATAAAATACAAAAGTAGACACAACCAATTTCACTATGACCCATGACAATAGCTGCTGTTCCCAAAAAGAAGAGTACTAGACACTAGCTTATCAATGAGAAATAATAATTCAATTCTTATTATTTTTCAGTAAATTTATGTTCCCCCCAGTACCTCTTCTGATAACTCTGTTACACTCATTTCAGCCAATAGCTGAGACTCCCAAATATGAGACTGTGTTATACACAGAACAATTTGAGACACTGTGAAATCCTAGAACTGTTGACCTCATGTAGATTGTGTTGCATGTGCATGAATATGCACAGATTTCATCAGAAACTCAATAGGGTCTGTGACCCCAAATCTCTAATTATGGTTTTTGAAAATTGGAATTATGTTTGCCAATGGCTAATGCTTCAAGATGTCTCCTTATTCTGTGATACTTCCAAGTTTATTAATGGAAGATGAATAATTCATCTGCAAGTTCTCTAACACACTAGAGCAGTAAGTCACAAGAGATGCGGTATCAACTTGCAGGAGATTCAAATTTCTTGGACTTTCATATTCTTTCACTATTAAAAGAATTATTTTAGTTTTGAGATTATAATTATATCACTTCGCCCGTCTCTCTTCTCCCTCCAAATCCTCTTATCTGTCCCATATACTTTCCTTCAAATTCACAGCTTCTATTAATAATCATTTGTTGGTGGATATTTAGTCTAAAATTTATATTTCTAAGTTAATATGTCTCCATTGACATATAGAATATATTTTATAGCTAACAATTCAGGTTCTTTTTACCAATAATTTATGATGAGCATATTTTGTATAATTAAAATTTTAAATGTAGTTGGAGGGAAATACACACACAATGTGCACATAAATTTATGTTGCCTCAAATGTAGATTTCAAGAAACATAAAGATTCATAGAAACCTCAGAGCTTGTCCCAGTGTATACTAAATCTTTCAAGGAATTACAATTCTTAGCATCTCTTGGAAACTATGTAAAACACTGCCTGTGGGGCTGGACAATCCAATATTTGGTCTTGCCCTGTTTGGTCTCACGACTTCCTGTTGGGATGAGGTTTAGAGTAAGACATCCAGTATGGAAGCTGACTAGAAAAATAACACCAGCATCAAATTAGAACCCAAATTTGAAAAAAGTATTCATGTATCCTAATTTTGTTCATTATCACAGTATTTATGAAAATTTTCAAGTGGCTATCAAATTATTAGAATGTAAGTTTTAAGTAATTTGAACAACCTAGGCTCAGAATACTTTGGAAGATTATTAAAACTCTACTAGTTCCATGAGGTAGGAAAATTTGGAAGTGTTTAGCTGAGTGACATGCCATGCTTTTTATTTTGCTTGGGTACTTGCTGCTACTGAATATGCAATGCTTTCAAATTACTCCAATTAAAAAATATTACAAAGAATTTACCCATATATACTATTAACAGATGTGATGGACTATGTTAAATGACTCTGATCATTTACTTTAAATCTAATATATCAACTTGAATGTTATAAAATTATAACATATGCATATATACACATGGGTATATATTAGGTATCAAGATGATCATTGAGTTTTTTAAAAGTCATATCTTTTCATATTTATTTACATGCGTATGTCTATTGGAATTCACATGCAACATTGTGCTTGTTGAGATTAGATGACAGCTTGTTAGAGACCACACTCTTTGCCCCTAAGCATACTGTAATTTATTCAATTTAGGATTGAATTATTTAGGGTGCCAGGCACAACAGTATGTGCCTCTACCTTCTGAGTAATCTCACTGGATCAGAGTATTTTAAAAATATTTTGTTATTTAAAAATTTAAATGTATATTAATGGTCAATTCTTTAAAATATTCCAGATTTTATTTTATTTCTTTTATGACAACTCTGTCTGATCAAATGGTTTAGTGAAAGATCTATCAGAAGTCATGAGTGTATAAATAATAATATAAACTAGAAGTGAAGATATTTTTATTCAATATACTACAAAAAACAAGTGAACCTTCCAGATATCACATACTGCATAGCCTCAGGAGTAATAGATGTCGTAATTCATTGCCAGTTTTGATGGTTGGGACTAGTGATCCCTGTGAAAATGCTTGGTACTTAGGGTGTTGGAGGTGGAAGGATACGTGGATTTCTAGTAGCTCAAACCCAGGTGCAAGCACTTAGGTCTGTTTGAGCATATTCTCCAAAGGGATTGCAGACAAGTCCAGAAGGGATGGAGAGCACCAAGAAAACTGGGCCTTTGGAACACAAGAGAATCAACGCACATATGAAGCCATAGTGACTGAGACAGTGAGCACAGGGCTAGCACAGATGCTAGAGCTGAAAGGAGAAGTAGACACATACGCCTATCCCTAATCCAGTTTCCTATTTCTTAATTTATATAATTAGAAATAATTCTATTCCTAATTAATAACCACTTGTAAATGATAATTTAGTTCTCCCAAAAGGAAGTCTCACTGTTAAAACAAATAACTTTTAAGGGTAGCTGCATGCCCAGAAGTATCTGGCCAACAGAAAATGCACTAAACAGTATCTCTGGAGGTTTCTTGTATCATAATGTCATGCCAGGGATTTCCTTTATTTTTTAAGGTTTATTTTATTTTCAACTTCTCTTATTTATTCATATATGCATTATCTCTCTTATACCCTATAGGTCCTTTGTGTGTATATTATGGCTTCCAGCTTAGTGCTTTTATAGGGTTCCTGAGTGTGCAGATGAGTGGGTCTCTGTATCTATACCTGTTTCTTGCCTTTTCTTGGACTCTTTTTCTTCTAATCATTTTGTCCTATTTCCATGTGTTATTTTTATTTTATTATTATCCCTTATAAGTCTGTTTTCTTTATATTGTTTTTAGAATATTTTATTTATTTATTCATTATTCATACAGTGTTTGCATGCTAGAAGAGGGCACCACCAATCTTATTGTAGAGGGTTGTCAGCAACCATGGGGTTACTGTGACTTGAAAGCAGTACTACTCGAAGAGTACAGTGCTCTTAACTTCTCTCTATCTCTCCAGCCCCACCTGTTTGTTTTGTAATGAGAGGAAAAGGGGGAAGGGATCTGAGGATGAAACTGGGAGAAGCAGGGGAAAAGGGAAGCCATAATCAGGATATATTCTGTGAGGAAAAAAAAGAAATTTTTAATAAAAGGGAAAATTACTCAATTAAATATATATATATATACATATTATAATATGCACTACAATTACACATATACTTTGTTAAGTAAATTTAAAGATATTTGTTTTCTATAGAGAAGGAAGGGGAATGGGCTTGAACAGATATGTAATTAATAGTAAAATGATAGTAGAATATGCATTATCTCCTCCTTTATCACAATCACACATCCTCAAGTTTACCTCATAGTCCAAGTCCAGGTAGTCAAACTCTCCATTGGTGCGGAAATGCTGCATGCTCCTGTCCAATGTCAGGTTAATGCTCCGTCCCTGGCGCTCAATGAGCACAGAGTGCCAGTGGTGATCATCCAGTAGGCTTCCTGATGTCACAGATGTGTGGCCATAGATGGGGCCAAGCTGGTTGCTTCCTGAGTAATGGAAGAAAAAGAGAAGTAAGACATTGTCCACATGACCCATCCTGCAAAGGGGCGTATCTTCCTTTTCCAATGTGAAGCCAATACACAGCTTTGTCTATTAAAGCTGGTATAGGAGAATCAGGATTTTTGCAGAAGATATAAATAAAAGCTACTGAAAGTAAGTAAATGCTTGTTCTTTTAAAAAGAGAATGCAAATGTTTTTGTACAGTGTTATGAATTCTTCTAAGTTTTGGTGGGTGGATATCTCACGGGCTCAGATGTCAGAAGTGCCATCATGTTAGCTTGATGTTCAGATGGGAAAAAGTTGGTCATTGCTCTGAGTCTGGTTGCTGACATACAAAATGTGGAGAATAATCCTTGTTTCTTCATGGATAGTGATGAAATCAAAAATATCTGGTGATAATGGTGTGTGTGTGTGTGTGTGTGTGTGTGTTTGTGTGTGCATGTGTTCTTCTATATGGTAGGGAGACCAGAAAGACAAGAAGAGAAATAGAAGAGGAATAGGTCTAAGTAGCAAGGTTGTCCTGGGTTTTATTACTGGAAACAGACTCACAGATGAAGTGTCTGAGAAGCAGGATGGTCACCTACTATAGAGAGTAGCAGTAGGTGTTTGAGTAGATATATATCTACTGCTGTCATAAATCCCAGACAGCTAATAAAACTTTGAAAGGAAACTACTTTCCAGTGAAATGGTAATGAACTCTTTTTGGCGAGGTCATAGAGCGAGCAACGTGTTTCACAAAGGTAATGTCACATCTCTATAAATCACAGTCGATTTTCAAAGGTTACTCTACGTGTTTCATTAGAGAAAAGTAAGAGAAAGTGGCTCTGAAAAAAATAAATATCTTGGGTTGGAAAAACAGTTCAATGGGTAAAAACACTTGCTGTCCAACTGGCCCCCTAATTTTGATTTCTGGGAGTCACAATATAGGAAAGATTAGACTGTTTTGATTTTCCTCTGACTTGCACACAAACACTGTGTTAGACATGTGCTTCCCTCCTCTTGCCCATGTGAAATACATTTTAAAAATTAAAATAAAAAATGTCTTTAGACACACCTCAAATATGGCATGTATGTACACTCAGGTATTTTATACATGTTTTATTTGGCTCCCATTCCCTACACTGAACCTTTCCCTTCCATCCTACAGCGTCATGTGTTACAAAGAGTTTCAAGCCCCTGAAGCCTCAAAACAAATGCCTGTTCATGATTACAGATGAAGAACATTATGAAGAATATACAAGGAAAATGAAACGCAAATTATTTTCTCCACTAAAAATAGTGTCATCTATTTCGTTCTAGATGTTTTTCCATATACAACCACTTAATTATTCATATGTATGCTGATACATATTCAGGTATATACATATTCAATGTGAAACCTTTGATATAGTGGTTCTGCTTCTTGAGGAGGCTGGATAGTCTAGCTGCTTCTTGCTGTACTGCAACGTTACCTTCTCATTGGATAAAAGAGCACATCCACGGTAGCTCACTGTAAAATTAAGATGAAATCATCCTTCACCTGACTCCGGACAGCACATTACCACACATCCAGTCTTTTTCACTGACAAGATTTTCATGTCTTTTGACCTACATCCAGGAATGGATACAAGTGAGTTGAACTACTACATTGAGACTTACAACACCATTTTTATCCTGAAATGTAGAATTCTCATTACCACATTTTACCATAGAAAATCTCACAGAGTCTGCCTATTAGCACTTCGCCCCTGTGCAAACACCTACTTTAAGAGGTTACAAGACAGTCATCCATTGGGTTCATCTGCTATCACTAGGAAGCCTATGGAAACTTTTTTCTTCTAATAGCGTTGATTGTAATTTCTTTTCCATTGGTGTTTCCAAAAGCTATTTCAAGTCTTCTATCCATGCTGGAGGAGAAGTTACTTTACACTGATTTATTTGAGGGTTCTGTGCTCATCCCTCACTGGATTTTGTTTTGTTTTTTTTTTTTTTGTTTGTTTGTTTTTTTGTTTTTCGAGACAGGGTTTCTCTGTAACTTTGGGTTCTGCTGCCATCACTGTCCAGACCCTCATTGGATTTTATGCATTTCCCATGTGTTTCTTCTCCCTAGCGCTGAAGGGTCCCTCAGTGTCATCTTGATCAGAAGTCTATCCTTATGAAGAGAATCAGTCTGTGCCATGTTGGCCAGCCTCTTAGTAGAGAACCAAGGCCACTGGCAGATTTCTCACTTTCCACAGCACCAAATCCATCTTTTTCAAGTTGTCCCAGCATCAAGCCAACTACAGAAAATGTCCCCCAAAGCTTTCTTTACAAAAGCAATAATTCCACCATTGTCTTAGATCCAGTCTCTAGGGTTTTCCATTTGTTTTTCTCTGTGACTTTGTGCACCAAGAGTTGTATTGATCTAACATACAACATGTGGTTGGTGGTTATGCTAATCTTCTGGGGTCACGACAGGAATAGTCCAGTGGTTGCCTGGATGGTAAGTAGACTATAGGCCAGGGACTCTGACTCCACATCACTCAAAGTGCCATGATGGACAGTTATATTTATAGACTATAGCTGTCTTTGAATGGCATATGGCACATCTCTATAGAATTAAAACTTGCACATATATGCTACAGTCTAAACCGGTATGCACATAAAATAATTCCATGTTTAAAATAAACTAAAATTAAACACATTTTAGTACAACTAATACATTTTCTATAAATTTTACTTTTCCTCTAAATTTTGATATTGAAATAACATTGCAATATTTGTCTTTAGACTTAATTTTTCTCATAGTGTCTTATTTTTTAATAATGCATGAGTAGAATATGAAAACTACTTCAAATATCTGAAGCTATGTGGTCAGATAATTTTCCCCCAAATATTTTTATCTGAAGAATAGGAAAAAAAAGATCCATTTTTGTCACTTACCCATAAACCCTGAAAAGACATACTTTCTAATTTGACAAAAAATATTATCTTCCATTTTAATGTTTGTTGTGCTTATAGCTCATGTGACAGAGAATTTGGTACCTTTAGTGTTTAACTTTTCTTTTCCGTGTTATCTTTTGTATTCAGTGCATACATATTTCTCTTTGCAGCTTGGAACTATAATGGAGTACTATGACTATTTTTTAATGAAAGGAATTAAAACTACAAAGAAAATTTGCATATTTCTTGGCTGATGGAGGTGGGTCTTGTATCTTATCTGTTGCTTTCATTGGTTAACTAATAAAGAAAACTGCTTGGCCTGATAGGACAGAAAATTAGGTAGGCAGGGTAAACAGAACAGGATGCTGGGAGAAAGAAGCCGAGTCAGGCAGTCACTATGATTTTCCCACCCGACACAGACGCAGGTTAAGATCTTCCCTGGTAAGACACCTTGTGGTGTTACAGGGATATTAGAAATGGGTTAGATCAATATGTAAGAGCTAGCCAATAAGAGGCTGGAACTAATGGGTCAGACAGTGTTTAAAAGAATACAGTTTCTATGTAATTATTTCTGATATAAAGCTAGCCGTGTGGGTGACCGGGTGCCAGGAACGTAGCCCACCGCTCTTATCACTACACTTGGCTTCACATACACTTTGTTTTAATGTAAAAAACAGTATTTTTGTAAATATGTGATTCAAATTTTCATCATTTTTTAATGTGGGTGATGTGTAGTCAAAACTATGTAGTTTTGACAATTTATTATTGCCTTAAAAAAACCCTAATTAAATTTATGTTCCTAGACTTGATGGCAATCCTCGAAATAAGTTCACACATCCTTAGTAATATACAGAGGCTCAAGAAAAAATAGGGTAGAGAAATCCCATTGGCAAGGACTGTCTTGAGTGTTTTAATCTTCAATTTTGTGCCTTTCTCTAGTGATACATTTGACAAATGTGTTTTTGCTATTCATTTATTGCTAAGTTATTACGTCTGTTGAATTCTTATTACAATAAATAAACTAAAACTATGGACTATACGTTGCTTTTTGAAGACTTCTATCTAGAACCTAGAATACTGAACCAAGCCAAAGAAAGAGGTGTTACTGCCTTGGACAGTCCGTGAATCTGAATATCATTGCCAATGCTGTGAACGTTTTCTTCAGCAACATGTGAGTCTCAGTTATGTGACCAGCAAGCCAGCAAGCACAGATTCTGTCTTTTTAAAAGTAATGGAAGGAAAAATCACATAAGACAACAACCCTTTGGGTTGCCTCCTTCACCCACCAATATCTCATTCCTCTGTTTTTCTTTTTAGCAACTTTTATTATTTCTTAAGTAACAAGTCTCTGAGAGTGTTTCTACAATCCTAAGAGAGTGATCATATGGTAACCTCCATATTAACAAAGTCTTTGTTCACCAGTATGTCTCTATGCCAGTTGACATCAAAGGTGAGCTACATAGCACTGATTACTTCTCTTTCTTTGGCTTCTGAGGAAATACACACTCTACTTCTCCACTCTCCAATTTCTGCTTAGTTCCCCATAGTGCATTCTCCTCTTATAATGCTGTAATTGACCCAATATAAACACTTTTTGTTTATGTGACAGGCAACTCAAATGTACTATCTTTCATCCTAAGCCCTGTAATTCCCTGTCCTCTTTTTATTTTCTATTTATGAAAATGTCACTAACTGTTCATTTTGTGCCTGAGCCCAAATCTTAGTTATTTTTTATTTTGTTTTTCTCTCTTTTTGGTCCTTTCTTTCTTTCTTTCTTTCTTCCTTCCTTCCTTCCTTTCTTTCTTTTGTGCTTCATACACAGTTCATCATGGGTCACGCAGAATTCACCACTGACATAATTTCCCAGATACATTTCTTTCTATCTCCCCTGATAATTTTCCATGGATGTCAGCACCATCCCTCCCCAGCAATGAAGATGTCTTCTCTGACTCTGTGCTGACTTAGGCATTCCTTCTCCTGTGAGAATATCAGTGCACCTACAAGTGATCATCATACAGCTGCTTATTTCTAACATCCAGAACCTGCAGCATCCTACAGAACCAGAACCGTCTCCATCCCCTGGACTTTTTCTCATTTTCAGAATTTCATACATGTATCCATTACAGTTTGTTTTTTGTTCCATAAGCATGCAAGCTCTTTGCTTGCAGTGATCCCTCCTCATGCAGTCTTCTTCTCTTGTTTTTGTGTTTTTTTCCGCCATTACTTAGATCTTATCTTGAATATTGTGGCTTTTTTTTCTAAGAGAGGGTTTTCCCTCATATTTTCTAACATTGGTCCTATGGCTTCTTTAGGCGGCATTTAAACCTGAACTCAGTATAATATATACTTACTAAGCTGATTTCCTATCACTCATAATTTGAAGTCATTTATTTTTATTTCTCTGGAGTATTTTACAAACTTAATGAGACACTCTCTTTCTGTTCTTTGTTGCATAATACCAGCTACTATAACATTGAACATAATATAAGTGTTTCAAATACCATTTTATTAAATGAGCAATATTATGGGTTGAATCTAAAGTGTTCCGCAAAGAATTGATGGTTAAAGCCTTGGTCCCAGCTGATGAAATTTAGCAATATGATTAGATGAGGATTGCTTTAAAGTCATGGATGGATCAATCGACCCACTATTGAAATAATGACTTGAGAGGTTACAAGCAGCATGGGGTAGTTCAAAGACATAAGGTACAGAAAGTGGACCACTGAGGCATCTGTCTTGTTTCTAATCTCTTCCTCTCTGTTTCTTGGCCCCCATGAGCACATTTGTTTCACCATGCCTTTCTTCCTTAGTGTTATACCTCACCAAAATCCCAGAGCTATGGATTAAGACATCTGGAATATGAACCAATACAATCTTTCCTCTTTTTTATTGATTTTTTATTGAGCTCTACATTTTTCTCTGCTCCTCTCTGCCTCTCCCCTCCCCTAAAACCCTCTACCAAGAATATTTCTTCTTTTAAATAATTTTTTCAGGTATATTGTCACAGGGATAAAAAGGTGACTAAAAGAAATAGGTATACAAATGAATACTCTACCATCATAGATGAAAATTAATTGACAATATAACACGAGATCTTATAATTATAATGTAAAAAAATATGTAGCATTTAAAATGCTTTGAATTTATTTATTTTAATAAGTGCTTTGCCTACATGCATGTATGTGCACCATGTAGATGCCTAGTGCCAAGGAAGATCAAAAGATGTCATATGATTACCCCAGTTCCAGGGATGACACTTGTGAACTAACATGTGTGGCTGGGATTTGAAACTGAGTCCCCTGTAAGAGCGGCAGGTACTCTCAATTTCTGAGTCATCTCTCCAGTTCCTCCTTTACAAATATTTTAAATATGGAAAAAATAATAGGGGATGACAACAAACCTAGGTTTAAACTGAGGACCAGCTTGGCTTTTTTCAGTTCCAACGTTATGTAATCCCCTTGCTGCCCTTCACCATGCAAGAGTACTCCTTCACTTTCCGAGGTCTTGAATTTCAAAGCAATGACATCTTTGAGTGTTTTCATCTTCTTGTTTCTGAAGCGGTACGGTAACACAACATGGCCATCAAAGTTGATAACATCAGCCCCTGAGAGGAGAGAGAAATACCTCATTAGTCTGGTAGCTTTAGATGAGGATCCACTTCCAGCTGGTGCCTGCTCAGGAAAGTGGGAGTTAGTGAGTGCTTTCCTGAAAAATATATATCCCAGTGTTGTCCTAAAGTGGATTGGCTGGAGAGTTTTTGATAAGAATGATCATAACAATATCTATCAATAGAGAATTTTATTTCAATTGCTATATTAACAATAAAAACTCAGTGAATATGAATATGATTGAAATTTTTACTTGGAAATGTATAGTTTATGGGAAAAAGCAAAGAAAATTTAATTGATCTTTTGATAGCTTCATACAACATGTTTTGATGATATTCACCTCACCACCCAATTCCTTCAGGTCCAACCCCATTCTTTACCTATAAGACTTTGTATCTCTACTTTTAAAAAATTCATCAAGGTCGGCTAATTACACTTTAGGCACTCTTTTCCAATATGACCTCTTTGGTAGCTTCGGATATCTGTCCCAGACTCCATATTGGCCCCTTGCCTTTGGAGTGGGGAAATTTGGTACAAATGATTTAGGCTCCAATGATTAAACTCAGATATCCTGAGTTACCATTTCTGAGCTAGAAAACAACTATCCAGTCGTACTGTGACTGACTGGAGGACCTCTAATTTGAATGTAGAGGTCCCATTGACATTTTCAGAATTGAGTGAGAATGCAGATTGTGTATTATGTTTGCTCCATCATTGTTGCTCCTTTCCACAGTCATTTAGTCACTTGTTCAGTGAGCAAGGGATGTGTATTATCCATGCCTAGGCGGTGGGTTTCCAGATGGTGGAATGACACTAGGAGAATTAGCAAAATATACATCAAATATTTCTACAGCCAGCATGGGAGTTGCTATTTTTAGATATGTATTGTGAAGATACTTTCAAAATCCTGAGTCTGTTACCTTTTCATTTTTATATTTCAGAAAATTTGGTCAAACTGGATTGTTCTAGTAGCTGAAAAGCGCAGTTCTGGACAAAGTCAGCCTTGAGGCTACGAGAGTTCTTCCTAAAACACTCCCACGTGAAGACAGTTGGGGAAATAACAGGGAGTTGAAAGCTCACTGGAGAAATGTTTTCTCATTTTATGTTCTGATTTTCTAGCATGTGCTTAGTTCCAGTACTACGGGGAGCAGTTTGACTTGTGGTAAGCAGAGTGAACCATTTGACCAGCTTTGTCCCCATCATGAGGGATACTCTTACCATCCAGCCCTTTTTGATTACCACCTGTAAAGCATTTGTTCTCTATAGAGTGAACAGCAGCAACTGTTTCTAACATTATCTAAGGCTAAAGGTAAGTTTTCCATAAACTCGTCAATAATTTTCACATGCTTTAAAAGCACGGAGGTGATGATCTCAAATTTATGCCTTTAAATCAAAGTTGAAACAATGCTGTTTTCAAAAGTTGAGAGAGGAGCTTAGTAGATGCTTCAGTTAGTAAAGCGCTAGTTATGGAAGCACATGGACAGCTAGGGGTGGTGGGGCTAGCTTGTAATGTCAGCCCAGGCTGGGTAAAGACAGGAGAAGCCCCAAAGCTTACTCTTCAGCCAATCTTGCTGAATCTATAAACTTCAGGTTCACTAATATCCTGTCTCCAAAACCTAAGGATGAGACAGGAAAATTCATGACTTTAGCCTCTTACTTTCACAGGCACAAATACACACACGCACATATATCAGAACGTCAACACACATTCATATCGCAAACAAATACGTTCTTAAAGGCATATTCCTTAACTGAAAGCTTCAAGAGGCAAACTTAAGCATGTGCCCTGCGTTTTTGTATAATCAGCGCTGTTTTCCATAAAGAGCCCTTCATAATCATTAGACTCCTGCTCTCACCAACCGCATCAGAGTTTATATTAATACAGAGGGTGGGGGAACAATCATTAAGTCTTGGCTCCTGTTCACACTGTAAAGCCAATTAAACTAGATCTTAATCATCTATCCTGTCATAGCTGAACTCCAGTGGCAACATCTTCATCATCCATGATGAGAGATAAAGGCAGGAAAAAACAGCACCCGATATTCTATTCAGATCTCAGGTTGTATTTATAAGCCCACAGTTGGGAGAAATTGGGAGAAATTCGTTTTTTTTTTTTCTTGAAAAGTGGATAAATAAAAAACCTGAGAAGGGAGTCAGTTATGACCTCTGGAGAGTAATTTCCCCCCAACTTCCTATGAGTGGCAATTGAATAATAGAGCCATCGTTGTTTTATATGCCTTCTATATATATTAATTGTGTCATATAATGCTTCTCATTCAGATTCCAGGAAGTAAATGTCCCTTCAGCCTAGATAAAGGCAAGAAATCTCTACTTTTATATGTTTATATAAGTAGAAATTTGTATGCAGTGCCAGGAACAGATTTGTACAAATGTGGATACTTTCCTGCCTCACACTTAGAACAATGGGAAGGTGTGACAGAGGAAATGGGTGTGGTTTATTGCCTCTAGACAGTCCTATAATATTGATGAAAATCATGAAGAGAAGTTATTCACGTTGCCCACTCTCATTTTACCCATGATAAATCCTTAGTGGTGGGCTGAAAAACTGATAAAATGATCTTCAAGCCAGACCTCCTACATTACAAAGTCAAATCTGTTCCTCTATGAATAGCTTAAATTCTTTTGAAATATCCACATACTCTCTTGTGACGGTGAGTGGAGAGCTAGTTTGGAAATGATAAAACTCCCTGAAACGATCTGTGTATTATAATTTATACTTAAACACCTATCATAATCCTTTAAAAGAGTTTGGGATATTGTACAATAATGCAAATAACACCCACCACAGATTAGTTCTATTTCCTATGAAAAATAAATTTAAATTTCACTTCAAGTCTAATAATATGTTGTGCTTATTTTAGGACAAGCTAATTTTTTTCTATGATTTTGATTACTTATCACTCCCTAAAATTAAGAATTCTCTGCAGTGATTAAATATGTGTGGTTGAACTGTTTAAGCAATCTGAACAACAATAATGGCTATTCAAAAGTGAATGCCAAATCATAGTGTTTCCACAATTTTGCTTCTAACAATAACTCAGGGAGCTGGGAGTGTGCCCAACTCATCAAATCCTTGTGCGATGAGGCCGTTCTTGTTTTGTTAATTGGGCTGAGGCTTTTTAGTCTCTGAATTTGTATAAGATGTTCTGGAGAATTTTTATCATGTAAGCACTGGAATATTATTTTAACATACTTTTGATATATTTCTACCAAAACATGTTCATTGTTTCAAAATTTCTTAACACATATTAAAAGTAGAATGTAAATCCTATAAATTATTTTTACAGGTAATGTTAATAATCAGTAAGTTTGCTCAAATGTTCGATTTTTTTTTAATTGAGAAAAGGAAAAAAAAGTTTCCCCCTCCTCCCAACCTCCCATTTCCCTCCCCCTCCTCCCACCGTTCTCCCCCTCCTCCCACCATTCTCCCCCTCCCCCTACTCCTCTCCCCCTCCCTCTCCAGTCCAAAGAGCAGTCAGGGTTCCCTGCCCTGTGGAAAGTCCAAGGTCCTCCCCCATCCGTCCAGGTCTAGGAAGGTGAACATCCAAACTGGTTAGGCTCCCACAAAGCCAGAACATGAAGTAGGATCAAAACCCCGTGCCATTGTCCTTGGCTTCTCATCATCCCTCATTGTTCACCATGTTCAGAGAGTCCGGTTTTATCCCATGCTTTTTCATCTAACAAGATATGCATTTATCCAATCTAAGTATGGCATAATCTATACATTGTATATTTACATGACTGTAATCTATGAATGAAAATTGAATATAGTATAAAATGATATAGGTTGTTGCATGTACTCTAGAATATATAGCATTATATAAAGTATATAAATATACACTATGTTTATATGTATTAATATATAACAATATTTGTGTGTGAAAAAATTATATATATAATCATACTAGAATTCATAATATATAAATACCAAGTCACTTCAAACATCTGAAATAAATTTCTAAACTAAGATTTAAAAATATAAGATGTAATTTCACTAGAATATCAAATTTTGCATAAAGACACATCCCTATATTTTCAAATCATGTGTCAATATTTATAAATGTTGATCTACTTCATGAAATAATATGAAGGACATTTTCATTCTCACTACCCTTTCATATTTATTCCTTGTGTATGTATAGGTGTGAAAGTCCACTTGGTTTGTGTGTGTGTGTTTGTGTGTGTGTGGTGTATGCACACAGGAGTGTGTAGATGTGTGTGCTTGTGTACATGCAGAAACTAGAGGAGCATATTGCGTGCTCTTCTCTTTAACTCTTGGCTTTGTTTCCTTGAGACAGGGCATCTCAATGACCTTGGAGTTAAGCTAGCAAAAAGCAAACGTCTGGAATCGGGTTTTTTCTAACTAGTCTTATAAGAACTTCGGGGGTAGAAAAATCATTGCTGATCAATGTTCAAAAAAGATTTGTTGAGTATCTGGCATGTTGTCATTTACATTTTAGTAAACTAGTATCATAAAAACTTTTGTTAAATTTAGCCTAAAATTAAAGGACTGGATTGGATGACATTTCTAAAATCACCTTTTTCTTCTTTAATGGACTATTATAAGTAGACATATAGCTGCGATCATCAGATAAGTCCCAATCATCAGGAAAGTCTTTGATAATTGTGGATAAGTTTTAGTGTTATGATTGTGGGTAGGAATTAACTAGAGTAGACATGAACTCTGATGGAATCTATCTCTTGATTTTTTTCATGTGTTTGAAGCTTATTACATTTTTCTTTTTTTTTTCTTATTACATTTTTCAAGGCTCTTTCCATTCAGTATAGTTGTGATTTAAGCCTAAAGAATTGAAGTGGGTTATTTTAATAGATCCTTTCAGTCTGACTAGATCTAGACTAGTTGGAAAGGAAACAATAAAAAAGAACTCCAACCACTTTCATGAAAACTAAAATGTAACTCTTTGTACAACTTTTCTTTGTCATTGCTTCATACCATGTCACAAAAGGACAACAA